AACGGTGTAGGGTTTCCTGCCTGAGCAGGGGGTTGGACTCGATGACCTCCGAGGTCCCTTCCAACTTTATTATTATTATTAAGTTTCGTGGGTATCCGTTTCTCTCAAAGACTTTGTATAAGAGTTTTTGTTCTACTGCCCCCTAGTGGCACAAATGCATTTTTTCTTGTTTGAGAACTGCATTGAGAAGTAGCAATTGCATTCCAGCTGAGAGAACTTGCAATAATTTAAGACTTTAGAAAAAGTCTCAGAAATTTTTCATTAAGGTCTTCATGTTATATAGTTCGAATACCATGCCTCAGATATATTATCATTGTAAAAGAACGTACTCCACGTTCCTTTTTTTTTTCTTCAATTCTTCTGGAAAAAACAGAAAAGAAACTGTTTTTTTCCTAATTTTTCCAGGGTTTTTTTCCCCTCCAGGCCTTCTCATCTCTAGTGAGGAGAAGGGAATAGTTAATCTCATACTTTGGGCGTGAAAAGCTCAAATCCGGCTTCGCTTCTCTATATAACCACTTGGTGAATAATAATAACAACAACAACAACAACAACAACAACAACAACAATAATAATAAAGTTGGAAGGGACCTTGGAGGTCTTCTAGTCCAACCCCCTGCTCAGGCAGGAAATCCTATACCATTTCGGACAAATGGCTGTCTAGTCTCTTCTTAAAAGCCTCCAGTGTTGGAGCATTCACCGCTTCTGGAGGCAGGTTGTTCCACTGGTTAATTGTTCTAACTGTCAGGAAGTTTCTCCTTAGTTCTAGATTGCTTCTCTCCTTGCTTAGTTTCCACCCGTTGCTTCTTGTCCTGCCTTCAGGCGACTTGGAAAATAGCTTGACTCCCTCTTCTTTGTGGCAGCCCCTGAGATACTGGAAGACTGCTATCATGTCCACCCTCGTCCTTCTCTTCATTAAACTAGACATACCCAATTCCAGCAACCGTTCCTTATATGCTTTAGCCTCCAGTCCCCTAATCATCTTTGTTGCTCAAAGGCTATCTGTAATAATTTTGTGATGTAGATCTACCTAATAGTTCTTTCGTTCTACACGGTTGTCTTGATTTTGTGTCTTCTTTTCAGGACTTTCCATTTCCAAGGTTTACGACTAGATGAAGCTTTACGATTCTACCTAGAAGCCTTTCGTTTGCCAGGAGAAGCTCCCGTGATTCATAGGCTATTGGAAGCCTTTACAGAACATTGGCATGTATGTTTTGAATTGCCCTATCTCTTTGTTCTTAAATAATATATTAATTAATTGAATTGGAACGAAGAACAGTTTTTTCTCTAGGCTTATACTTTCATCATTGTGGGGAAAAAATGACCGATTTTGGTCAGGTTATATTTATTTATTTATTTGTGGGGAAGAAAGTTTTGGCAGGGGCTGAATTCATATGTGAACTATGATTTATTACCAAAACACAACAAAAATCAAACAAACCAGACTATAAGTTAAAATTTTGTGTTCATGTTTTACTTGAAAAATATCCCAAACTGACAGCAAGATGGTAAATGATAAAATGAAGTAGAAATAATATAACAGGAGAAACTGGAACAAAAACACTCATCTGCTAAAAATGGTATGAATTGGGATTGGGTATGATATTTACTCAAAAGTTAGACTCAATTTTTCTTCCCCCAAATTAAGTGTGTATGGAGTCGGGGGTGTGTGTCAAAATGTTATATTCTCTGAAATAAGACAGGAAAGTATTGTTAAAAGTAAACAAATGTACAAGAAACATAAATATGAGGTTGTCTGCAGCAAACATTGAAAGCAATAAAAAGAGCTGGATGAGACTGGAAGTTTTCTCTCTCTATACCTGGAAGTAAGAACATAGAACTCAATTGAACTTAGAATAAAATTGCTGCAAACCTAAATATATTCCTTTATCCTTGCACCTTAGTACACATGACTATCATCCAATTTCTTGGTTACAAACAGGAAAAAAACCCCAACAGGTTTTCCCAAGTTTCAATTCCAAGATAATAATTCCCCTGCAAGCACCCTCCCCCAATAGTATGGCAAGCCCCGAAAATACATAGGCAAAAGCAAGAAAGGGAAAGAGGGAAAAATTAAAGGCAAATATAATTGAGTGGCTCTGAGACTTGGCTTTTATATTTTAATGCTGTTTGTTTTATATTTTTAATAATTGTTTTTTTATATATTTATTGTAGATATTGTTGAGCACCGTCCAGAGTCACTTTTTGTGAGATGGGCAGCCTTGTAAATTTGATTAAATAAATAAATACATGCATAAACATAGTTTGATAAGTAAATACATACATACCTACATGTATGCATACACATTTGCAGTTGAGTCATATATACAAATTTAGTAGGAGGAAATACTTTCCAGATTGATTTTATTGGGAATTGGCAATTCTAGAAGGGCAAACCTAGGCAGGAAATCTGAGAAACGCATAGGACTTTGTTGTCTTGTTTGGATTTATAAACAATTTTCTATTTACTCTTTATTTTTAGAGGGGGATGGCTTAAATTCGTGTCATTTTCCTTTTAGTTATATACAATACTATTGTCAATGCTGCTAACATCGGATGTTTTTGCTTTGACAACAGTAGGAACGCAACCATTTTCTTTTTATGTTTTACTTTTAGAGTTAGATGATGCTGGGGGGGGAGGAATGTGCATGAGAGATTGGATAGACATAATAATATTGGACTTGGTGTGAGAACCAAGGTTAATGAAATAAGAGATGATAAGAATTGGAGGGCTGGAGAACTGGAGGGAGAGCCTGCATTTCAAACTAATTGGAGAATGTGATTTATGACAGTTAATTGGAGGAGGGAATTGTGCTTTGATACTATGTACTCAGGCGAGGGGATTCCAGTTTTTGGCTTCGAGTGTGTTAGTGCAGATGCTATGCTTCTCAAATAAAGAATCTTTAAGGTANATTCCCCTAATCGGAACCATGACACTAGCTAGCAGCCAGTAGACAGTGAGTTCTAGTCCTGCCTTAGGCATCAAAAACTATCTGGGTGACTTTGGGCTATTCACAGCTTCTCAACCCAACTTAACCTCACAGGGTTGTTTTGTGGGGAAAATAGGAAGAAATCAGAATATAGATATATTTGCCACTTGAAGTTATATATCAGTGATGGCGAACCTTTTAGAGACCGAGTGCCCCAAAACCACCCCACCATCCCCGTCCCCGCTCCACTTTGCCCACTGGGCCACCCACCACCTCCACTGCCCGCCACAGATCACCCAGGCAGCCCAGCAGCGCCATGGTGGCCACACCCTCTGCCCAGGCCCCGCAGCATCATCTGCGCGCGACGGGGCGCAAGGGCAGAGTCTTGTCCCCGCTGCCCGGCTACCATGTCCTTGGCTGCGCTGCTTCGTGTGGGCCGTGTCCAGGGGCGACTCTCCGGGGGGGCTGCTGGTGAGGAGGGGGCTGTGGGAGGAGGCGGGGCTGGGGAGACAGTGTGTGTGCCCACAGAGAGGGCTCCGAGTGCCGCCTCTGGCACCTGTGCCATAGGTTCACCACCACTGTTATATATGAAAAAAGGAGTATAAAAATAAAATTTTAAAAAATCCTAGCACGTTTGCTACAGTGCATCTTAACAATTGATCATTTAATGTTTCTGTATTCATCTCTGATAGAAATGAAGAGGTTGTGATGCCCGATGAGCAGACAGGCTTAGTAAAAGAAAACTATGTATGGAGTGTGTTGTTGCACCGTGGAGCCACTGAAGAAGGAGTCTTTCTGCATATTCCACCTGGCAGCTATGATCACGACCTCTTTGCCATGACCTGGGGACCTACTGTTGCAGCTCTTTCCTACGTTTTTGACAAAAGCTTAGATGAAGCAGTAATCCAGAAGACTATTTCTGGTTTCAGGTAACTCTCCTTCACAGTCTACAAAATTATTTTATGTACCATATCCGTATTTTGACCTTGGATGTTAAGAAAAGCATGCCGATATTTTCCATAAAGACATACAGTTTTTAACAATGGCCTGTTTAAAATGTGTCCACTGGTTTTTGATAACTACTGCTGTCTTGCAGTAGTTATTGAAAACTGTTGGTCAATGTAAATTGGAACTGCACAACAACTGCAGCATCCTTCAATTTTTTGACTGCAAAAGGGTATATTGTTTAGCATTGTTGTATTTTTCTTTAACCCAAGTAGGAGTGACGCCATGACCAGGTAATGGTCTGAGTTCATATCTGGTCCTGATAGGTGCATGCATCAAGCAATGCCGAGTACCGCTGCCTACAAACACATACATAGTTAACTTTATTATTTGTGAAACTGTCAGGAGAGTGCCATATTGCCTTGAGAATGCGCTTATGTTCAAAATAGGTGTTCCCAATACATAGATTGTTCATACCACAGAATAAAGTGAGGTGTTCACCATTATCTTTCATTTCTATAGTTGAACCGTGTAGCCCTAGGACAGGGGTAGGCAACCTTGGCTCTTTTATGACTCGTGGACGTCAACTCCAAGGTCCCTTCCAACATTATTATTATTGTTGTTGTTATTGTTGTCGTTGTTGTTGTTGTTTGCATTGCAGAAATATAATGTGAAAAATCTAGCGAATCATTCTGGAAGCATCTGTGTGATTTCTCTTACAGCATTATGATTTGCCTTTCAGAAAATGCGCCATGATCTCTGCTCATTACGGCCTCAGTGATGTTTTTGACAACCTCATCATTTCTCTCTGTAAATTCACAGCCCTTAGCAGTGAGGTAAGTTGTCAAACAGAGACGTGTAAATAATTTAAATTTAAACCTAGTCCATGAACAGAGTTGATTTTCTTTTCGATTAAATACCAACACTTGATTAGTTAATACTAATCTTTAGTTCTTTCTGGTTTCCCAGGATGTCCAACTTTCAAAGTTCCATCCTGCCATTTTTTTTTAGAGAATTGAAAACAAAAGCATGTTCCTACAAGAAGGATTCTTATAATTAATTTCAAAATCTTATTTTAATGGACCCTTGGTCTATTTGTAACTTTCCAAAATCAAAGTTCTGGACATTCTTTTGCTGTTTATTACATTTTTAAAAAGTCTTTAAACTTGTACTTAAAACGTCTTTCACCAAGAATTAAAGAAAACCCACCCAGTGCTCTAAAACCTGTTGATCCAAAGTTCATAATAATTGAAAATTATTAACTGCTGTTAATAAGCAATTTCCAAAAGTGGCTGGAAAAGGAAGTATCAATAGAAGTAAATCTTGACGGTTGAACTATAGGTCCTTGGTGCTCTCTAAGCTTAGTTGTTTTCTTGCAGATATTTCATTACTCAACTAGGTAACATCATCAGCGTTACCTAGTTGGGTAATAAAATGTCTGCAAGAAAAAAAGTCGTAAGTCGAGGATTACCTGTATTTCCTTTTGTGGAGTCTTTGGTGCTCTGAAATTGGCTTAGAGATTGGCTCAACTAGGTAACATCATAGCCAATCTCTGAGCCAAACTCAAAGCACCAAAGATTGCACAAAAGGAACTGCAGGTAATCCTCAACTTACAATAGTTCTGTCAAGGTTCCAATAGACGGAACCAAATAAATCAGAACTCTGAGGCTTGAAGCTTCCTCAAAGAACATGTTTATTGGATACAAAATATCGGCATGGTCAAAAGTGAAACCAAGTCTGAAATTCCCTCCAAATAATTTCACCATTACAAAATAAAAGTTCCCACCCCAGTGCTGTGTAACAAACTACGCTACCCAATAGAGCAATTTGGCGGGCTTTCAGACCAAACGCCCAACGCCCCCTCTTCCAAGCGAGAGAATGACCTTGGTTCCCACAGGACATAATATTGTTTAGACTGCCAAAGTTACTCCGCCCCCACTCCCTTTCATGTGGCAAGCTAGAACAACCAAGTTGACTGCAGTCAGGTTCATTGTAGAGTTGACAAGTTCATTTAGTGACCATTCAAAGTTACAACAGCACTGAAAAAAAAAGACTTATGATTACTTTTCATAGTTATAACCATTGTAGTACCTCCATGGTCATATGATCAAAATTCAGATTCTTGGCAACTGTCTGATATTTAAGGCGATTGCGGTGTCCTGGATCATGTGTGATCACCTTTGGTAACCTTCTGACATGTAAAGTTAATGGGAAAGCTAGATTCATTTAACAACCATGTTACTAACTTAACTGCAGTGATTCACTTAACAACTGATGTAAATGGGGCAAAACTCACTTAACAATTATTTCGGTTAGCGACAGAAATTTTGGGGTCACACATTGAGGACTACATATATGTAAACTCAGTGTCTTTTTGAATCTACCAACCCTGGTTGAAAAAAAATGGCTAGTCCCTTGTCTCTCAGAGCTCTAAACCTGCCAGAGACAGCTCTCTTGCACTCTTGTGAGGAGCAGTGTTGAGTGGCACACTTGTGGGCAATCTCGAGTCTTCTCGTTTGTCCAGACAGGAATTACAATAAGCCGGTCTATTTGCCAACTCTTCATTCTGCTATAATCATCAATCTGCTTTTCGTGGAGTTGTCTTCAGTTTGCCATTTCTTCCCCACAAGTCCAGAAAAAGTTAAATAAGATTTTGAAGCAAAAGAGTTATAAATGATTGAAATGTCCAGACAAATCTGGAATTTTCAAAATTTTACTATAGGATAACAACAGAGTTGGAAGGATCCTTGGAGGTCTTCTCGTCCAACCCCGTGGACAAGCATGGGACCTGTTCAATCTTTTCTTAAAAATCTCCAGTAAATAAGCAGCTTTTGTGGGAATCAGAATTATTTTGGATATTGTAAGTGCTTACAAAAATTTGAGAACATAGTATTTAAATTGGATACTAGAAGGACTAAGGATTCCAGTTAAAAAGAAAAAAAAAGTGCCTTTGGCTTTGATTGGAATTGGGATTTACAAAATGACACAAAACACTATAACATTTGAAGTATTTAAAAGATATCTTTAAAAAATGAGGCCAGAAACTATTAGCCGGTGAGGTGCCTACTTTTATGAATAGACCATGTTTAAAGGATGAAGGATGACAGATGTGAAACAAATTGTGCTTGGTGCAGAAATAGTACAATCAGAAATATTGGATTTTAAAAATTATGGATTGCAAGACAGAAGTTATTTAAATTAGATATACAAGTGACAAGCCAAGAGAATCGCTTGAAGAAGCTGGCTGAAGTTTTAAAAATTAAGGGGAAGTGCAAATGATAAACCAAGAGAATGACCTGGATGATATCTTTTTATTGTATTGATGTGTTAAGCCTAAAGAAGCCTGCACAATGGGACAAAGAAGAATTGAAGAGAGATCAAATCCTAAGATAATATTTGAATGAATTAAAAGATTTAGATTGTCATAGGTAAAAGGAAAGAATACAAAGTTGGCTTATTTTATCAAGGACAAAATGAGCCATGTTTTTATGAAATTCTGGCAAACTTTTATAAAACTTTTTGCTAACACAAGGATTGAAAAGTCAATGTCTTATGGATGTGCTTCTAGATAAGGGATAGATTATGGGAAGAAGCGGTATCTGGTTGTAACCTTAAAAAGAGTGAAGAGCTATCTAACTAGTTACAGACAGTATACTGCAATATATATAGGCTGTGAAAGTAGTGAAATATTAGTCAAATTTACTCAAATATTGTGACTGAACATTTGACTAAATCAGGTCTTCCTGTTTTGAGTTAATACTTTATACCAAACTTGAGATTTTTTTAAAAAAAACAAGAATTTATTTATTTGTACTTTTCTCTTGCAGTCAATTGAGAATTTGCCAACAGTTTTTGGAAGCAACCCAAAAGCCCACATTGCAGCGAAGACTGTGTTCCACTTGGCTCATCGACATGGCGATATTTTACGAGAGGGCTGGAAAAACATAATGGAGGCAATGTTGCAACTTTTCAGAGCAGAATTATTGCCAAAAACCATGGTGGAGGTAAAACAAATGACAGTAGATGCTAGGATAATTGGGTGAGAGGACAAGGATTTGCCATGCTTGGGCTTCGTTGTATAATCAAAGCACAACAAAAAAGCTTAAATGTTTTAAAATGTTTTTTTTTTGCAGAATGTTAAATGCTATCTTAAAAAACTTATAAATTGGGATTTTATAAAATATAATGACATACAGTTTTGTTTTTGAGAGAATGGGGACGTATGCAGGTGAGTGGTACAGGCAGGCCCGGGTTCAGGTGGGTACACAAATGGGTGGGTATGAGTGTGGGTGAGCTCTAGGGAGTATAGGCATAGTTTAGGGGTAGGCAACCTTGGCTCTTTTATGACTCGTGGACTTCAACTCCCAGAATTCCTGAGCCAGCATGGCTCAGCTTGGAAACCTCTCCCTTTCTCCTCAGCATGGCTGGCTCAGGAATTCTGGGAGTTGAAGTCCACGAGTCATAAAAGAGCCAAGGTTGCCTACCCCGGCATAGGTACAACTGATGATGTAAGGATGCTGTGGAATATGAGATCCCCATGCTACTCATGGTCTCCTCAGGAGAAAAAGCAGCAGGAGCAGTTTGCAAGACCTCCTGTTGACTTGGCAGGGAAGGTCGCAAATGGTGATCACATGATTGTGGGATGCTGCAGTTGTTCGAAATGCAAATCTGTGGCCAAGCACCTGTATCGGGGATGCTGCATGATCAAGGACCATTTATAAGTCCCCTTTGAATGTTTGCTATATTAACGGTTATAAGCCAAGATCTTCCTGTATTTCTTTTCGAGAATTTTTTAGTTTGTTCAAAAAAAAAAAAAAGCTTAAAATACGAAACACCAAAATATTTAAAACAAATTCAAATCATAACATCTTGGAAGTTGTGAGATATTTTTACCTGTAAAAAATGGGTGCAGACGTTACCCCTCCTTGCTCATAAGTTATCACCTCCCTGCTTCATTGCCCTGCAGGCAGCGAGTTGTCCCCCTGTCTAGGGGGTGGGGGCCACTTGTTTTGCATCCGGACAGCAGGGGCGACCCATTGATGCTGACCTGTCAGGGCCAACCCTTCAGCATGGATCCATCCGAGCCATCTGCACAGATCTGTCAGCGCCAACCCATCTTCATTGACCCGCCTGCGACAACCCACCTGCGCTGAGTTGTCCCATTCTGCTTCAGATGGGCAGAACTGTTACTAAGAAACAAAGGAAATAATGCGCTTGAGAAGACTCAGCAGAATCCCAAGACTGGTTTACTGTTGCTATGCTTTTATCTTTCGGTGCCTATTATTTTAGTGGCCTTTTTCAAAATCATTTTAGGGATAATGTGCTGCAACTGCCAAAAAGGCCAACACAGTGCTAGGCTGCATTAACAGAGGGATGGAATCAAGATCACGTGAAGTGTTAATACCACTTTACAATGCCTTGGTAAGGCCACACTTGGAATACTGCATCCAGTTTTGGTCACCACGATGTAAAAAAGATGTTGAGACTCTAGAAAGAGTGCAGAGAAGAGCAACAAAGATGGTTAGGGAACCGGAGGCTAAAGCATATAAGGAACAGCTACTGGAATTGGGTATGTCTAGTTTAAGGAAGAGAAGGACGAGGGGGGACATGATAGCAGTGTTCCAATATCTCAGGGGCTGCCACAAAGAAGAGGGAGTCAAGCTATTCTCCAAAGCGCCTGAAGGCAGGACGAGAAGCAACGGGTGGAAACTGATCAAGGAGAGAAGCAACCTAGAACTAAGGAGAAACTTCCTGACAGTTAGAACAATTAACCAGTGGAACAACCTGCCTCCAGAAGTGGTGAATGCTCCAACACTGGAAGTTTTTAAGAAGAGACTGGATAGCCATTTGTCTAAAATGGTATAGGGTTTCCTGCCTGAGCAGGGGGTTGGACTAGATGACCTCCAAGGTCCCTTCCAACTTTACTATTATTATTATATGTGTTTGTGTGTGTATGCATGTAGGTGTTTACAGTATGCACTAGTAATACAGTGAAAAGCGATATTGAAATAGTTTAATAAAATACATTGTAAAGTAGTAATTTATTGATTTGATCTACAGGTTGAAGATTTTGTAGATCCCAATGGCAAGATCTCTCTTCAGCGAGAGGAAACCCCTTCTAATCGGTGCGTAACCCAGATAATGGAATAGATTGACAGAAAAGCTTGAACTTCTGCATTTATATATAAAACTATTAGATGTTAGAGAATATAGATGGAATCTGTATCACATAGCGCAAATTCCTCTTTGTTAGATTCCAGCCAACGGGCATAGCCTTTTGTCCGTCTCTCAGTTTTTGTCTATATCTAATGTTCTGTGTCTCCTGAGGATGTTTTATCCCCATTGAGATGTTTGAGATTCCTCCATACCTCCATTAATTTGATAGTATTTGTTTATACATTTGCAATCCTTGGACTTCTAATAAAGTTGCTGGTACACCTCTCTTGTGAAATAAATTGGAGCATTTTGGCTGCATTAGATTTGGGACTCTGATACTGAGTTCTATTTGCAAGTTTCTCCTTCCTCCTCTATCTATAAGCATGGTTTTTTTTTGTCTTTTGTAGGGGAGAGTCTACAGTGCTTATCTTTGTTAACTGGCTGACACTCAGTGGCACAGAACAGTCTGGTATGAGAGGACCATCCACAGAGAATCAAGAAGCAAAGAGAATGGCCCTGGAATGTATAAAGGTAATTTGAGTTCGGATGAAAGACAACGGCATATAGAGTAGAACATCAAATCTTTAATCCACTGAGTAATTGTGGCCATAAATGTGTCTTTCCATTGTCGACGGACAGATTTATTAGCATTGAGAAGTGATGGATCTGATTCTGTAGTTCAACTGTCAATGTCCATGTTCAAAAGAATACTTACACCTGAAAAACTGAAACCGTGTCTCAAAGTCAGATTATTATGTGTAGTTATGATCATTTTAAAAGATTGGAAATAGATATTTTAATTGTCCCAAAGGTGCTTTTTCAGGAGGCAACTGGACTTTCTTGTTTTACTTTGAAGACGTTTCGCTTCTCATCCAAGAAACTTTTTCAGCTCTTGACTAGATGGTGGGGAATGGAAGGATTTCTATTCCTTGCAGACAGCTGGTCATTTGCATTCTTTTAGAGAGTCAGTCGTTGAGGCCATTTGGAGGTTTAGTACTCAGGGTCACCTGAGTACTAAAAATGTGTGTGGAGCCTTCTTGGCTGCAGGATGTTTTCTGCTGTTGGGGGTGAGTCCAGTGGTGGGATTCAAATACCTGAATTTCCGGTTCTCTGTGTGGATGCAGGCCTGGGCCTCCGAGGCCTAGAACGGACTTCCGGAAGTGACATCTGTAAACCTCTTAGGGAGGGTTGTAAAGCACTGTGAAGCGGTATATAAGTCTAAGTGCTACTGCTATTGCTATTCATTTCTTGAGAAAAAGATGCTGGATTCAAACCAAGGAGTCCCTTCCTCTTAAAATTAGTATGGGGTATTAATAAAGAGGCAGTGTATTCTAGAACTTTGTGGACACTTAGGTGTTTATACTATGTATATTTTACAAGGTCTGCCGTATGAGATTAATACTTTATTTGTCTTCCCATTTTCCACTTTACAGCAATGTGATCCAGAGAAGTTAATCACTGAGAGCAAGTTTCTGCAACTTGAGTCCCTGCAGGAATTAATGAAGGTGAGGCCCGAGTTAGCCTTTCAGGCAGGTTAGAAGTGAACCAGTTGCAGAGATTTGAGAAAACTTACTCTGAGTAATGAGATGCCATTGCTCATTTTGGATGGATTTGCATTGCTTGCATATTAAAATAAGAAAATAATTGCTAGCTTCTTAGAGTCCTGTCCCCCTAGAAATTACTTGGTGCTGCGTTGTCTATTTTGGTTTCATTTTCTTTCAGAGATATACAATTACCATGCTTAGCTTTCTGCTATCGTGTTTCCCCCAAAATAAGACCCACCCAGGAAATAAGTCCTAGCGTGATTTTGGGGGATGGGCCTAATATAAGCCCTACCCCAAAAATAAGCCCGGGAGAGGTGGATGTGGCCAGCACAAGAGGTGGGAGCATGCGAAGGTCAACAGTGTCCGGCAGTAGCCATAACCCGCTGGCCCCTTGGCGCAGCGTAGGTAAGTCCGAGCCAGGTGGCCGCGCAGCACATCCCGATATCCTGCCTCCCACCACTTCTGCCTCCGCGCTTGGACTTACATGCACTGCGCCAAGGGGCTGGTGGGCTGTGGCTGCTGCCAGACACTGTTGTCCTCCGTGTGCCTGACGACTCTTGTGCATGTGCTGGGGTTGGGTTTGACTTAGAAGCCAAAAACCCAAAACAATCTGTTTCGCCAGGGTTGAGTCACAGTTGGTTCCTCCCTATCCAGACCTAATGTACAGCCTCCCAGCACTCGGTCAGCACTATGACAGCATCACCTGCCCAGCCAGAGGTGGAGATGTATAATTCATGCTGTGAATCACCTCATTGAGTCCTTTCATGTAAATCAGGGGTAGTCAACCTTGGCTCTTTTATGACTCGTGGACTTCAACTCCCAGAATTCCTGAGCCAGCTAAGCTGGCTCAGGAATTCTGGGAATTGAAGTCCACGAGTCATAAAAGAGCCAAGATTGACTACCCCTGATGTAAATGTTAGGAACAGAGGAGTGGGACCTGAGCCCTAGGCCAGTGATGGCGAACCTTTTAGAGACCGAGTGCCCAAACTGCAACCCAAAACCCACTTATGCATCGTCGGGTGCCGGGTGGGCGTGGCCCATTGGGTGGGCGTGGCTGCGGTGGTAGCAGCAGACTGGGTGGGACTAAAAAGTTCAATCAATCAATTCCAACTTTACAAGATCTTTTTTTTCCCCGCGAGAAGTTGAAATTGACTGATTGATTGAACCTTTTTTTTTTTTTTTGTACACCTAAAGCGAAAAGGTTTTATAAAACCCAGCTGAAGGCCTAGGACTGGGGCGATGGCGCGCGTGCCCACAGAGAGGGCTCTGAGTGCCGTCTCTGGAACCCGTGCCATAGGTTCGCCACCACTGCCCTAGGCCTTGACCTCTCTCCCCAACTAATAACTGAAACTGGCCAATGAAAAAAGGAAGGGAGCCACCTCACACTGCCAATCCCCGAAGACAGCTCAGAGAGACAATCCTACTGCTGGGATTATCCAGGAGGGCCAAGATAATTGCAGCACCTCTCCAAAGGACATCTGCACATGAGACCACTGCTGTCTCAGTACTGTCCCTTAGCCTGAACCCAGCCTCAAAGGGGTCCAAATAGTCTGCTTCATGACTCTCTATGGCTGAACACCAATCACCTTGTCAACAGCCTTCCCTAAAAAAGGGAAGGTTGGAGACTTGATCAAAGTGGTCTAAAACAGTTGAGAAAGAGCTATAACCCCACGTCCTTCAAAGAAGGCTGTACCATCCCATCCTGCAAGAAAAGCATTAATCACCACAAACTTTAAGACAAGTTTTATTGGTTTTTTGATTTTTAAAACAAAGTACTCAAGACACACCGTGGTGTTAGGGTGGTCAAACATCCGCAAACAAAACATATATACATAATCAATACATCAAATATTCCCTCTCTTTTTCCCTTAAGTACCATATTTTATTTAAAATAATCCAATTCTAGCTTAAATTTATTCAACCTAAACCTGTTTTTAAAGCTTTATAAATTTACACTACCATAATCAAAATAACTTTAAGTACAAACATTATCAGTTCGGGTATCCCTTCCAAATATATTCTAATTCCTTAAT